TGGATGCCTTGACTAATAATTAAAATCAATCATCTTTCAGGTAAACATTTAAAGTTAATTTTTGTTCTTGTTTGTTTTGCTTCAGTTTTGTGGGCTGGGACCTCCAGAACATCATCACACTTGATGCTGTGGAAGAGGACAGTCGGTCTCAGATCATGCTCAAGAAGGTCCAGTCTCCAGTGGTCTTGCTCTACTGTTCTAAAGACGAAGCAGTCTACATCCTGGAGGAGGCTCGCTCTCTGGGCCTGACTGGGTTTGGTTACATTTGGATTGTGCCGTCACTTACTACTGGGAACACGGAAATAACACCAGAGTCGTTTCCATCAGGGATGATTTCAGTGTCGTACGACGAGTGGGACTACCCGCTGGAGGCACGAGTTCGAGATGGACTGGGGATCATAACGTCAGCAGCAGCAGCCATGTTGTATGAGTATGGAGATATCCCTGAAGCCAAGACATCCTGCTATGGCCAAATGGAAAAGACAAGCAAGCTGCCGCCAAGTGCTCTGCACAAGTAAGCATAATTAATAATAATAATACATTTTATTTGTATAGCACTTTTCTAAATACTCAGACGCTTAATTTTTTTTTTTTTGGATTTAGCATTCTCACCTTTAAAAAGGTGAAATATGAGATATAAGTGAATTATCATTGAAACACAAACGGTATGTATTATATAAAAAATGTGGGTTAGTTTTAATTTTTATTTAACACCTCTCCTTTGAAAATGAGCATAAGATTGGGGAAATTACTTTTGGGCATGACATCCAGAGATTTTGAATTACAGCTGAGAAAATAGAGGGAGAAGACATTAAAAAGAAGGTGATTGGAATTGTGGGTGTAGTTTGTGGAAAAGGTAGGGAGCAGAAGATTAAGAGGTGGAATTTAAATGGGATAACAGCAGGAAACCACTACAAATGAGTGCTTTCTCAAATTGAAGAGCTCCTTGATGAGTCCTTCTGCTCTTCTTCTCCATTATTCCTCCATATCTCATTTGCTCTCTTGTGCTCTCCTCATCTTGCGCTCGGCCCCCCCATCAGCCAGTGGGAGATGTTGCAGGTCTTGCCAGCTCTGTCTGGCTTTCCATCTGGCAGAGAGGGTAGAGACACACACAAGTAGTGTTTACATCCGAATCATGGTTTTATTTGAGAAGATGAGTGGAATTAATCCTCTTATGTCTGAATAAAAGAATTTGCTTCCAAAATGTCTTTCCAAAAACAAAATTGGACAGGTTGTTTAGCGCTACTATGCTTTCTTTAATAGATAAAATAGTGTCACCTTAATATATTTGTCAAGAAAAGAAGCTACACACAAAGGACTGATACACTGACAGATGGGAAATAAGTTTGAACATTCAAAATACAGCCGCACATACTTTGGACAGTCTTGCAATTTTGTTCTCTCTCTGAGAGTAACAACAAAATTTAATTCTATATCCTTGTCTATTTGCTGTAAGTGGTAATCAGACACAACACTATATTCAATTAGACATTGCCTTTACAAATAATCATGATTATATACATTTGGTGGGCATTATAACTCTAAGCAAGGTTGATTTGCAGCACTGTGGTGTTGAACATGGTGTAAAACAATTAATGTTTTATTTTATTTTATTATTATTAATACTATTTTAGCTTCAATTGTAATTCTCCTGCCTCCATACATGACATCAATAAAGGATGATTGTACACTATAATATTAATTATATCAATTATACTACTTATTCTTTATAAACTTTATTGTATTTCATAATTGTACAGTGCACCATGAAAAACCGAATGAAAGCTTGTTCCATTTCTCCACAGCAGTGTAGGAGTACAGCATTTGCATGAATTTTATAGACTTTGGTGTTTAGAGTAGAAGATGCATTTCTTGTGCGGGTACAAGTAATGAGCAAATGTTAGCAAATGTTCCTATTTACACCTAGACACATGATACATGTATACATGCATGTACAGATATCTACATACAGTATGTGTATATATGCATACATACACAATACACACAGTATCCATACCTGAGTGAATGCCCATATACTGCTCATTTTTGGTGGTTTTTTTATATATATTTTTTTTTTAACAAAGGTATGTGTGTGTTTGCTATTGTGGTCACCTCATTAGTGACTTGAGTTCACCAGTTTAATAGCTCGTGGTATGAAATTGTTGCAGAACCTGGTGGTTCTGGTCCTCAGGCTGTGGTACCTCCTGCCAGAGGTCAACAGAGTAAACAGTCCATATTGTGGGTATGAGTTGTCTCTTTTGACTTTATTTTAATTTACTTGCTCTGGTCAGATTTGTCAAAGTGACTGTTGGACATGTGCACCAGTGACCCCTGCAACCCAGAAAAGAAGAAGTGGATACAAGGATATTAGGTAGTAGAAGTGGGATGGATGGATGGATGGATGGATGGATGGATGGATGGATGGATGGATGGATGGATGGAGGGATGGATGGATGGATGGATGGATGGATGGATGGATGGATGGATGGATGGATGGATTG